CCCGGTTCCGTCCACCATCTCTCAGGATATCTAGTGAGGCTGTCATCTTATCCATTTATCAAATCCCATCCCATTCCTATTTGTACTTAGTCTTCGTTACCAACTCAAACATGAATGCATACACAAGTAACGTGCATCCAACAAAGCAAGCATATTTTAGATTTTCAAAATCAAACAGTAGTGAAGTAAGCAGTGATACATGCATTCAAAATCATAGAATAAATAAAACAGATACTATAATGCATTTAAACTGTAAAATAAATCAAACAGGAATTAACAGAGAAATATATCCGGTTCGGGCTCCATTAGCAACCGTAATTAATTATGCATATCTATTTAATTTGTACAAAATACAGTTATAATTTATTCAGACTTCAATTTCATGATAAGAAATAAGGTGAGGGGTTCTTACCAGATTTGACACCGAACCCTAGATTTTCACTGTGCCTACGGCTGTCCCTGGTTTCCCTAAATTTTTTATCGGGAACTGAAACGCGCTTACGGTACCTACACATATCTCAAATAACCCAAAAATCAGACCCAGTGCCTATTCGGTCAATTTCGAAATTCTGGCGTGGCGGCTCCGCCGTTTGTCTCCTTTAACTATAAAATTTTGGAGGCTTTCTTTGGAACCTTACTCTTTATGGCACAGTCTTATTTTTTCAGCAGTTACAAGAGTTCCTGGAACGGTATCTCTGGTCTTTAGGTCTCTTTCTTACCCCTTTTTCAGTTGACAGTTTGAGATGGCTCTCATTTTCTCTTTTTGGAGGATCATTGGATTGACAATATGTCTCTTTCTTCTCTTTTCTGGGACTTTATAGGTGTCTACTAATCATTTTTATCCAATCTCTGTTATGATTCAGGATAATGGTACCCACTCTTAAGACTTTTCTTTCTTCAGAAATCTTATTGAGCAGGTGATATGGCTAGTTTTAAACAAATTCTTGGTTCTTTGTTCTCCAATTAGCCTGCCATAAAATCTGGTATTTGGATTCCTCAGGTTTGTACTGCTGTGAATCATACATGAATTTCTTGATTGACAATCTTGTTATTCTGAATGTTCTTCACGAGCCTTTATCGAATTTTCTCACTTCCTTTTCAAGGGGAAAGTTGTTGTCTGGACAGCGATTCAGGATAGGCTTAGTACTAATAATTTGCTTTAAGTTTGCAAATTGAATTGCGCGTTCTCACCTAGGGTGTGTTTTATGTGCTATCAAAGCAATAGACTCATAATCATCTCTTCCTGCACTGTCAGATTGCCTAAAGAATCTCGTGCTGAGTTCTGAATGACTTCAGTATTCCTTGGGTTTCACCTTAGAAGATGGAGGTTTTCCTCTCTTTGGCATTGTTGGGCCCGAGGATCGAACGAGCATAAATATTTTTAGTGTGAGGCAATCTTTTCTGGTATGCAGGTGATCTAGTTGGAGTGGGGTGCTAGAATATCTTGAGATTATGAGTTACACCTTTTGATTCTTTGGAACAAAGTTTGTTTTTTGGCTTCCATTTGGGCCAAGGCTAATGGACATCTTAATGATGATTCTTTATCTGTTCATGCAGAGATTGGCCACATATTCTTTCTTTTGACCAGCTAGTCACTCTCCTTAATTGTTTTTATTTTTATTTTTATTTTTAGTAATATACCTAATCCTTCTTAGTTGTATCTCTTTCTTCCTATTAATGCATTTTCTTTTCAATTTTTTTGTACAAAAATGGGTCATCCTTTTTAAATATATCATTTCACACAATGCGAAATCCCTTCTAATTAACTACTTTAAAAATGAATAAATTCTTACTGTTAATTTTAGTAGTGATTGGCATGTGGCTTAAATTTATGCTTTATAACATTTTGAGAAAAGACAAGCATCCATTAGTTCATTCTTGGGGCCTACACATCAGTCATAAAGGGTTATATTTGTTGCTTGCTTCTTCCTGTTAACTGATAATTATTAAACAATGATTTTCCATTGTGTTTATCCCTTGACATTGACCCAGGAGTTAGGTTGCTGGAAGAAGTTAGTGAATTAGCAGAAATAGAGGAAGGAGATTAGGGAAAAAGAAGAAGAGGGGAAGAAAGTTGAGAGGGAATCTGATAGTTGCTGTAACTATTCCAGAAACTTCATTCAAAATGATAGCATGCTAGTATAATTTCCTAGTATCCTATATCTTGCCTCCCCTAACCTTAAGACAGCAACCTGTTAAGTAAACAACAGAAAACAGAATAGAGATGCAAAAGGGCAACAGACCCAAGAACTTGTGACTAATCCCATCCATTTAACTAATAACGCCCAAACAAAAGCTTAAGGTAATTAAACTACCAGTAAAAGGAACCAGCTGTGATGACAAAACTTGGATCAGCAGCTAGGAACCTGACATATGTGCATTTGAAGTTATCCTAAACTATCAGTCCTGCAACCTATTTCTCATTGGATGCAAGGGGCTCAGAAGATAATTCAAGATTCAGAAATTAATTCCATCATTGTCCAATGGTTGAGCTGAATTATATATCTGCAACTTTTTCCTTCAGAGACAAGAGATGGACTATATGCGCATGAACTGTTGAGAAACTGTCAAAAGATTGTTTCAGAGAGCAAAAGTCTTCTAGTTACCAACCCGGTTGAAATTATATGTAGAAGTGCTGCTGAATCACAATCCCATGGATTGTCAACTATCTTGGTTGCATATTTTGATAATCAGGTGTGTCTTAAGCTGGGGTGAATACTTTTCCCTTCTCCACAATGTCAAGTGAGTTTGGGATAAATCATGTGATATCTATCACTCTTTATATTTCCCAATTTATGATCTTCGTATGAATAAAAGAAAAATAGGTTACACTATCAATTTTAAATTAATATGACTTGGAGAATAATTTGTCTTTCATGCTGACTTTTTACCATTTTTCTGTTAGTCTAATTAATAAATTTAATATAACGTGTACACAACACGTGCGCATAGCTTCAAATGCATATAAATGACTTTACACTAATAATATCTCAAGTTAATCTACTGAAATTAAAATAATACGAAATATTGCTAATTGTTGAGACTATCATATTTCGTATAACATGATTTTGCCTGGTGACATAATGCTTGACTTGGAAAAATGGTAGAATGTTATGGTTCTTTTTCAACTTTCTAATGGCTATAGAGAACATTTTTTCTAACCCACAATTAGGCTGAACAGGTACTCCATGTTGCCAATATTGGGGACTCAGGATTCATACTTTTGAGAAATGGCACTGTCTTTCAAATATCTTCTCCAATGTTTCATGATTTCAATCTTCCTGTGCAAATTAAGAGAGACGATGATCCCTCAGAATTTTTAGAGGTACAAAATGACTTAAATTTTACTGCAAACATTTTATATGTCAAGCACTTTTATATTTGTGTATTACAAGTACTAGTTAAAACTTCTAACTTGATCATATTCTTTGGATATTAATAAAGAAATGTAGCTTCATCCCAGTGATCCAATAATTCAGGACAAGTTACAATTTGAACTCATATGGTTTGGCCTGGTTGCAATTCAAACTTTTTGTGACAGTTTCGGACTTGTTTAGTTTTTTGACATTTTATATAAAATGAATAGTTTTTTGGACTATCCTTTTATATTTTTTTAAGTTTTTTCCTCTAATATGGACTTAGCTTTAAAGTTTCCTGTTTAGAAATCCAGGCAGGTATAGATTTACTGAGATGTAAAAGAACAGAAACTAAACCAAACTACTAAATTGTCAAAAAAAAAACCACAAGATTTGAATTGTAATCAAGCTCAACCACATGAGGGGAAGATGTACCTTGCCCAATTTTTATGCTAGAAAATCCCATGTCCAAGGATTTAAGCTTTGGGTGTAGAGATGATGATCGATTATCTGTTGTTTCAGGTATACCATGTTCACTTGGATGAGGGTGACGTGCTTATTACTGCAACTGATGGGCTCTTTGACAATCTATACGAGCAAGAAATTGCTTCCATTGTCTCCAAGTCACTGCAAGAGAATATGCAGCCTCAGGTACTTTGCTGCAAAATACAATGGAAACTAAGAATCGAACCTATCAGTTGATTATTGAAGTCAAATTTAATTAAAGCTGTAGGTTTTAATAATAAAGTGGTGATTATTATTATAGGAAATAGCAGAATTATTGGCCAGAAAAGCACAAGTAGTTGGGAGTTCAGCATCTGCTAGGAGTCCATTTGCAGATGCAGCCCAGGCAGCTGGATATACAGGATACAGGGGTGGGAAGCTTGATGATGTAACTGTCATTGTCTCATTAGTTCAAAAGAAGTCTGTCTGATTATAAAAAATGAAGCTTATTTTTTTTCTTAATTTGTTCCAATTTGTACATAAACATCCTTTCCAACACAATAAATCATGACTACGATTTTGGGTTTTTGGCAGTAGCTGGATATGTTATTGATTAATCGCTGAATGTTAATAAAGCTTGTGTATTTCATTATGATTGGGAAGTGGTAATCCAAGTCCTTGACAAGAATGGTGATTTGTTGTAATTAAATTTATTCTTAACAGTTTTTGGTCAGATATATGTAAGTTGTTAAGACTTTCATATTTAGTTAATAGAAGATTATATTTCTCAATATTTTCTCCAGATTAATGATAAGTTTCTACTTTTCCAGTGTAGGAAAGAAAAAGGGTCGTCTATATTTTGATGGAGTCTCTTGATTTAAGGAATGAATGAAATAAATAGGGAAAAGTTTATATTGGATTCCATGAGTCTCTCTTTAGGTTTAAAAATCATGGGAAGACCTTTCGGCAAAAGAAATTAAAAAAGCCTTAACAGGCGGGAGGTTGCGGCAACAACAAATGATAACCCATACAAATGTTTCAAATCCAAAACACAATGCTCTGCTTTCTTTGACTGCATTAGACAGGCCTTTGTCATCCTAATGCATGGCAAAATTGTAATTTTCAGGGTTTTCTAAATTCAATAGATAATTTAGTTTTGGTAATTTCAGTACTTGTTATTTTGATTTCAGAAAAATACGTGTTTATTTAGCATTTAGTTTTTCGTTATTAGTCTGAATTTTAAAAAATTTAGTTGCCAATGTTAAACTATTTAATTTTTTTCTATAAAAAACTTATAGATATTATTAGTTTTTTCTTCTAATTCTTATTACAATTTGATTTTTAAAACTTCTTTCAATATAATTTGGACTTTTACATTTTCTACTTTTTTCTAAACGACCACTTTTTCCTATTTTTTAACCCAAAAAAAAAAAAGTTTAAAATGATTAGAGTATATTTAAATATTTTTAAAAGTAAGTCAAAAAATTTAATTTAATCAATTAATTAAATTAATAAATTAAGAATAATATTAGACATCTTTTTATTGTTATTAATTTATTACTTTAATGAATTAGTTAAAATTATTTTTTAAAACGTTCAAATATGATGTAATTATTTAAATATTTTTTCTGAAAATGAAAGAAAACTTAGTACTTGAAATAATAGAAAATAATAGTAATCAAACTATAACGAAAAAATATTAAGTGTCGAGTCATAACAAATGTCAGATTTTAGAGACTAATTTAATAATTTTTTCTAAATTTTATTCTTTAGCTTTATTTTAGTTTATTTAATTTTCTAATTGTAATTTATTTATATCTTAAATTTTTAAGTAGGGTATAACCTCAGCAAGGACGTGAAAATTAAAAAGTTTGTGCACTTAGCTTGATGAATGTTGGTACTAATTTATTTGTTAAAAATTAATGTAACAATAATAATTTATTTTATTTATTAATTTAAATTAAGATAAAATTTATCTCTAATTAGATTTAGAGCACATATGGGAGTGTCGTGCGCATAGCGCATGCGCATGCAGCCAGAAAGCTGCGGAGGCCAGCAGCAAGCGCCTCCATGCACGATCAACACACCAGCACAACGCATGTACGCAGGGCTTGCAGGAAAGGTAAGCTACAAGTGGGAAAAGGGATTCTTTTTTCCAGAAGGATTCCCACAATTCCCACTCCATGATGCGCTTGGTTTATGATCTAAGAGGGTTTCTTAACCTGGCCCAAAAGCAAGGAAGGCATTAGCCCATTTAATAGTTAAAAGGAATTCGAGGTGGTTTGAGAGGTCTAAAATCATCCACTGGCTTGGAAGGTTACATGCTGAGATGAGGGCCCTTGGGATAGCCCAAGAAAGGTCCAAGTTAAGCCCAACTAGGCCTAGAGATCCAAGGCAAGCACATTCCACGCATGTGAGCACCCTTGCTCACATGTGTGAGTCACCCATCTTAGCTTTGTAAAATGTCAGATATATATTTGTATTACCCTTTAATTACCTCAGAATCCATTCCATTTCATGTTAATATTATTTTCAAGATATGCCATGTATTTACTTACCACACTAAGTGCATACAAAATATCAAGGCGAGTATAAACCGCGACGTACATGATACTTCCCATAACACTCGAATAAGGAACTCTAGATATATGTTATGTAACACCCCTGAACCTATATGGATGACTATACTTAAATTTTTGTTTTATAAGTTTATTTTCCAATGATTTTTATGCATAAATTATGTTTAAAATTTATTTTGATTCATAGAATTTTAAAAAATGCGAAGGGAAAGGAATATAAAAACAAAGGTAGGAACGAGGGAAATGCTCGCAGGTAACTCGCGGGACTGTCTCGCATACAGAAAAGCCCCACCGATACAACAGGCTAGTGTGGGTAAACAGTGCCGGACAAAAGTGTAAACAGTCTAGCCCAACATCTAGCAACTGGGCAGAGACTACCCACCCAGTTGGTTGGCCACTAAGCCAATCAACGATTAGGAATAATTGCTTGTGATCCAAAGGATCACACTTGTTCTTTTTGCTTATAAAAGGCGATCGGTTTCGTCTCTCTCTCTCATTTTTTTCTTATTCCTTCGTCTTCTTCATTTGATAGACAGAGAGAGAGAGAGAGAGGCTTCAACAGAGAGAAAGAGTGATACAGGAAGGAATACATTGAAGGGTCATGCACTCCGTCCATTCTCACCATGCAGAATCAATCAAGCTTGATCGCACGGTGAGTTTGCTTATCTTTTTCCAAATTTTTTCATTCCTTTCAGAGTGTTAAGTCACTTAACTGAGACTTCTTCTTCTTTCTTTCTTCTTCTCTTCCTCTACCTCCATCATCTGTAGATTTTCTTTGCAAACTGAGAGCATTTTTACAACATGCTGCTACATCAAGCTCTCCTATTCGAACCATCCCATGTAGCTTTATTTCTCTAAAACTTGAGGACTTTAAACTGAAGATAAGGGACCTAGTATTTCTCTGCATGTTTTAATTGCTTATTTATAGGATTTTACAACCATAAAAAGGGATTGAACTATCTTTGCACATGATTTTTGGAATGCATGGTAATTATTTGGTGATTGTTTTGGTTTAGATACAAGTGAAGTGTGAATTTGATATGCAAGGTATTTTTATGATGATTAATAATGATTTTGATTGAAAATGAGGGAAAACACATGATGAAAATGATAGGAATGGGTTCAAAATAGTGAAGGCACTGGTTTGCCAAGGTGTACGTACATTGGTGCGCGCACGAGAATGCATGCATGTGTGTGTGTGCCTGTAGGTCTGCCAAGCATGCCAACATGCCGATAGGCTCTTGTGCATGTGGCAGTGTTGCATGGTCGAGTGTTCAGGCGCACTGTGTGCAGAAAGGCTTGTCTCCACAGGCCAAACTGCCAGGATAGCTGTCCGTGGCACACTACATGTACAGCTTGGCATATAGTTGGGCCTGTTGGCATGCACGAGTTGTGGGGCATTCCAATTGGGCCTGGGCTTGGGCCCTAGGCCTCACTCACAAGGTGATAATTGAGAGGGTTTCCCAAATAGACCTCGGCCCAAAAAGAAAAACCAATGGCCCAGTTGTCTAAGGACCTTAATGGTCTGGGTTTTAGGCTTAGGTTGGGCCTTGGTGGGCCGAAAGTGTTTTAAAGATCCTAATGGATCTGGGTTTGATCCGAGTTAGGCCTTTGTCGGCTGGGTTAGCTTAATAGACCTTAACCGGTCCAGGTAAGTCAAATGGGCTCTCAGTTGGGCTAGGTCAGTTAACGTGTCGGGTTGGTCAATAGACCCCCCATTGAGTCCTGTGCTGGGTTAGGTAAATGGATCCATTTTGGATTCGAGTTCAGGTCAAAGGGTTAGCATTGGACCCAATTTAAGTCAACGGATCCCTTTTGGGTCCGAATTTTGGTCAAACAGATCCTCTTTAGATCCAAGTTAGTTTAGGAGCCCTTGTTAGGCTGGGATGGTTTGAAGAATCCCTTTTTAGTTCGGTTCGGTTTAGTGGGCCATCAGTGGGTCTGGTTTGTATAAGAGGCCCTTATCGGGTCTGGGTTTGGGTAAAGGGTTCCACGGAGCCTAAATTGGTTTGAAATTTAATTGTTTTGAATTCTGTTATTGAATTACTATCTTATTTTATGTCTAAAAATGAAATAGATGACTGAAATTCGTTAACCGTTATCACTAAGGGGTTATCTAATTTGACCATTACCGACTGTTGGTGAACCACTCCCTGTGAATGATACCATCGTCCCCTCTTACGAGCACAGATCATGATAACTGTAAGGGCCACAGTGGCACCCTAGTCATAGAATATTGATCAATAGATCGTACTGTATTACATTATTTTCCAATCACAATGGTAGTTGGGGAATCCTCTCTGCCCTTAGTTGATATAGGCCCTAACAGCTTCGTGCGAAGATTTGTAAAATTAAACTAAAATAAACGATTGATTTGTTAGGTCTACGATTATTGTTGATGTTTATTGTTTATTTATTGTTTCGCTTCTTGATGACATATGTTTCTCACTGTTCTATCATTATGCCTATGAATTTGGATATGTATTTTAAATGATCTTCGTAACTAAATTAAAAGGTTTTTCGAAATATCTAAACTGGTGATATTTGATGATCTTTGAAGGTAAGGTTAATTAGATTAAAGTGATATTGGATTGCTTACTTTTAAAATTAAAATGCTTACTTTTAAAATTAAAATCTAACTCTTGAAACTTTAATAATATGATTTAAATACTGTATCCCTTACTAAATTTCATAGAACTCACCCCTAATCCATCCCTCAGACGATGTTGAAATTGAGAGCTACCACCCGAGTTGCCCTCAATGCTTGTTCGGATCTATTTATTGACCACTAGACGAAGAGTACTCATCTTTTTGTACCCCGATGAAATCTTTTTTATATTGTAGAATTAATTGAACATTATTTGTAAGTGTGTAGCTAATTCATTACCACAGTGATGTACATTTGGTATATGTAAGGGATGATTACTTTCGCCGATGTATACCCTACCGAGTACCG